ATAAATCTTCTAATACGCCGGCTTGTGATTGACCTATCTATAATAATGCGATTTTGTAAATAAATGATTATCAAATCCTGCCCATGAATGACCTTTTTTTTATCTGAAGTTTGGTAAATAAATTAAAGTGGAACTGGTTCAGAAGGTAAGTAAATTAAGTTGATTTATTATTATACAAGAAAGCTTGGACGAAGGGATGGTGAGAAGAAAGGTGAAATGAGAACCTTACGTTCTTTTTAAGTAGTAGAGATAAATAAATGATCATCAATGTCTGCCCATGAATTACCTTTTTTTATCCGAAGTTTGGTAAGTAAATTAAAGTGAAACTGGTTCAGAAGGTAAGTAAATTAAGTTGATTTTTTATTATGCAAGGAAGGTTGAACGAAGGGATGGTGGGAAGAAAGGTGAAATGAGAACCTTACGTTCTTTTTAAGTAGTAGAGAAGATATGAATGAGGCCACTACGTGTGCCATTGATTCCAATTAAAATTCATACCAACTAAGAAATCCCACACCTCATGTTAATTACTCCTGCGATTAATATGGCACCCACAAATCCCACACGTCCTATCCATTTGGTACGATGCTCCCTCATTCAATCCTCATGTATTCGCTCTTCTTTATTTCTCATGCAATTTATGTCTATTTCCTTCCTTCTTTATTTCTCATGCAATTACTGTCTATTTTCTTTGAGAGCGGCGTTTCGGTGTCCGGGTGCATCTGCACCCGGTCAAAAAAAATCGTAAAAAATTCAGAAAAATTCAAAAAATTCCAAATTTTTTTTGGGTGGTAGACAATTTGATGCGTGAGGTACACTCCAATTTTCAAAAACATTTGGATTTCTGTGCAGCTCTCAGCAAAAAAGACAAATCAGACCAGAACAGTATATGAACAGTACATATTTTTACAGACCTCCAATTTGTCTTTTTTGCTGAGAGTTGCACAGAAGTCCAAATGTTTTGAAAATTGGAGCGTACCTCACGCATCAAATTGTCCACCACCCCAATTGTTTTTGGAATTTTTTGAATTTTTTTAGTATTTATTTTGATTTTTTTTGTGAGCGCAGGTGCAGATGAGCTCGGCTTCATATTCGAATTTTCCATTTTCTTTCTCTTTCTTTCATTATATCATGAATGTCATGAATCCCATTTGTCAGCCTGTTAATTGCTCTTGCAATTAATATGGCGTCCACATAATTACCATCTATTTCATCTCTTCCCTTTCTCCTTCCTTCTTTATCTCATGCAATTAATGTCTATTTCCTTTCTTGCGTCTCTTTCCTTTCTCCTTTCTTCTTTATTTCTCATGCAATTAATGTCTAATTCCTTTCTTTCCGCCTTTTTCCTTTCTCATTCCTTCTTTATTACTCATGTAATTAATATCTATTTCCTTTCTTGCCGTCTTGATTATGCATAATGGCTATTGTTCTATGTCATGAATCTCATTTGCCGCCCTATTAATTGTTCATGTGATTAATATGGCGCCCACATAATTACCATATATTTCCTTTACTCTCTTTCCTTTCTCATTCCTTCTTTATCTCTCATGCAATAAATGTCTATTTCCTTTCTTGCATCTCTTTCCTTTCTCCTTTCTTCTTTATTTCTCATGCAATTAATGTCTAATTCCTTTCTTTCCGTCCTTTTCCTTTCTCCTTCCTTCTTTATTACTCATGCAATTAATGTATATTTCCTTTCTTGTTGGCTTGATTATGCATAATGGATATTGCTCTATGTCATGAATCCCATTTGCCGCCTTGTTAATTACTCATGCGATTAATATGGCACCCACATAATTACCATCTATTTCCTTTACTCTCTCTTCCTTTCTCCTTCCTTCTTATCTCATACAATTAATGTCTATTGACTTTCTTGCTGTCTCTTTCCTTTCTCCTTCCTTCTTTATTTCCCATGCAATTAATGTCTATTTCCTTTCTTGCTATCTCCTTCCTTTCTCCTTCCTTCCTTATTTCTCATGCAATTAATGTCTATTTCTTTTCTTACCGGCTTGGTTATGCATAATGGCTATTGCTCTCCCTCTCATTTGTTCCGTTAAGTACAAAGCTTGTTCACGCCTCATTCTTTGCTTAAATTCGGAAGCAGCCCCCTTGATACCTGATAACCTAAGAACGTATATAAACTGGTAAGAATTAATGTAAATAGCAAGGTGGGACTATTTAATAAGTAAACAAATATGGATTGATGTGCGCTACCTTGACAAGCCGTCCCATGGGCCGCAACAGCCGTCCCTGCATCATGTTCATGCCCATCCAGCGCACATCGCCTCAGCCCGAGTATGCCTTGTCTTCTATTCTTAAGGGGCTAGACGTCCACA